GTTGTTTCCATTTGACTTCTTAGAAGTGGGAATTCAGAGGAGGGAAGTAGGCTTCATCTTTTGAAGGTAGTATCAGCATTTTTGGACATATATTTGATCATTCGGTGGTCTTTCAGTAGATTTTTTTTTAACTGTGAAAAAAATACCTATTGTGAACTGTAGTTTGTATTCCAGATATCATAATATAAACTCCAATAACATTGTCATGATGGATCCTGGACCATGACTTTATTTTATCGGTGAATTTCATATGAATGAACGCTGGTGTTCTGGGCCCTTTTCCTTTTCATTCTTAGAAGGCCATCTCGTAGAGTCACAGCTTTACATATCTCCATGCTGTTGTCATAACAGACTTATCTCTTTGGTTCCAGGTGTTTCCTTTAAGCTTCAGAACCAAATGCCTCGTAGAAATTCCCTTTGGTCTAAAATGGAACCCTGATCTCTTCTCTGAAAATTCACTTGTTCCCACTTCAGTTAATTGCTCGTGCCAGATCTTATTTGACCCCTCACTTCCCCACATCTGATCCATTGCAGTCCTGTTGAGTCTATTTGTGAAGCATATTGTGAATTCAGCCACTGCACCTCCACCACCTTAATCTTCACTACCATCACCCCTCTCCTAAAGTCCTCCAGTGTCCTTACTGGTGTGTTCACTCCTGCTGTTGTCCTCTCCAGTCCAGGACACGAAACCAGATCGTTGTCTTCCCATCCACTTAGATTTAAATTCCGACCCCTTCCTACGATCTTGCCTCACCTGGTTTTTGCTTTTGTTTCTTCACCCTCATCTCCCACCACACTACCCCTTATTCAGAACATTTTAGAAACATTGCTCTTTGTTGTTCCCTGCCTCAAGATTTTGCACAGGCTGTTCCTTATGCCTAAGCCCTTCTTCCCTCACCCCCTTTCTTTTAACCTGATCTTATTCTTCAGATCTCAACTTAAGTGTCACTTCCCTTGTATATTTCATCAGCGCCTCTTGTCTCTCCAGAACCTAGCACCAGAAATAGTCTCATTTGTATTGTCTTGTTTACTGACTATGAATTCTGTAAGGCTGGGTCTGTTTTGCTTTCATCACTATATTCTTAGTGGCTAATACAGAATCATGCATATAATAGGCACTTTAATAAATAATTAGTAAGTAAATGAATATTCAATAGCAAGACTACTGTTCATGCAGGATTTCAGAGTTGGAAGGACTCTGATGAATCATTTAATTAGTCTAGTCTTGTTTCCGTCGTGCCTGCCATGTCCTTGATAACTTTGATATTCTGACCAGTTCATTCAGTTGTCTCTCAGGTGTAGTAATTTCTCTATCCTTTGCATCCCTGTCATTCTTCTCTAAAGTTTTGAAGAGGCCTGACCAGGTGGTATGAAGGGAGATCTTGCTTGCTGTCTGATTATAGCACTGTGCTTCAGACAGTAGGCGATAAAATCGTCTTAATGTTAATCAGCTTAACAATAACCCACAATTGTCAGACCAACTAAACGTTTGTACAGATTGGATCAACTGTTTTCTGGACATTTTTGATAAATTGTTGAATTATGATGTAGTTACACTGATGATATTAATATGCCTGAAACAACGGGGCTGTAAAATATTCATCTTGGTAATTTGAGTCATTTAAATAAATGAGCTGTGCCCTAGCCGGTTTGGCTCAGTGGATAGAGTGTCGGCCTGCGGACTGAAGGGTCCTGTGTTTGATTCTGGTCAAGGGCAAGTACCTTGGTTGCGGGCACATCTCCACTAGGAGGTGTGCAGGAGGCAGCTGATTGATGTTTCTAACTTTCTATTCCTCTCCCTTCCTCTCTGTATAAAATATATTTTTAAAAAATAAATGAACTGTATTAAAAAATAAAATACAATAAAAAGATTGCCTTAATGTCTCAGCAGTTGTCTCAGGTGCTGATGTGGAGAGAGCTTATAACCGCAACATTTTAAAGATAGGGATTTCCATTGTTAGGTTACAAATGAGGTATTTGAAGCCATTTTACCTTTAGCGTTTCCTTGGCTGATAGCTGTTCTCCATATAAGTTATTATAGGTGTTTTGTCTATAAAAGTGTCTTGTAGACGGGATTGTCCTGAATAGCACCTGTTACTGCCTGTGCCCTGTTGGCAAGTGTGTTATAAACATGTATGTGAGGAGGAAACTTAAATTGATTACCTACTCTGTACCACCCTCCAAAATACTTTATAATGTATAGTTTACATTACCTTATGTACATAAAATATCCAGCAGGCAGTCAGTATAGGGTAGCAGTTAACACCTGGACTCTGGGATCAGATCTTCTTGATTAGATTTATAGTCCTGCCACTTACCAGCTGTGTGGTCTTTGATAAATTTCTTATACTTTACTTGCCTCGATTTCCTCATATGTAATGTACCTATCTTATAAGGTAGTTGGGATGAATTGATAAGTTAATATTAATGTATTCAAAGCAATTATTATGGCGCTGATGCAGAGTAACTGGTGACTATGTTTTAGCTATTCTCATTTAGTTCTCAAAATAATTGGGAGTTAATAATATAATTCCAGTTTTACAGATGAGGAAACTAACCAGAGACGTTGGGTTACTTCTTCAAGGCAGATCCAGGGTTTGAGGTGCCCAGAGTAGTAGAGTCACAGATGGTTATGTGGGAGGAACCACACATAATCCCTTTGCTCTGGAAGGTGCTTAGAGTCTTGTGGAGCACCCTGCCAGATGTCTTGGTTGTACCGTTGATGAGATTAAGACCACGTTAAGTTTCAATAAATTGATGAAGAAACTGACACTGAAAGATGGAATTAATCATAGCAATCCATTTTCTCACTAAGACAGCTTCTTGGAGCAGAAACTGTAATGCTCATATTTGTTTTTCTACCACCTTATACTTGTGGGTAATGTGTACTCAAAAAATGCTGTTGGTGAGTGAGTGAGTGCATTAATAAATAAGGAAAAGTGTCATGAGGGTGTGAGAGCTGGAGCTGGTGAGGGAGGCAGAAAGCATCCAAGGGTTTTTTGGCTTGGGTGACTGGACAGAGAGCTCCACCCTGCTCTGTGCTAGCAAGTGGAGGAGGAGGAGGAGGAGGAGCAGGCCTAGGGGAGTGAGAAGGAAAGTTAGGAGTTTGATTTAGACAGGTGGAGTATAATCCTAGGAGAGATAGTTATAGGCACATAGAAATAGAGAAACAACAGGGTTGGAAACATATTGGAAACTTGTTTTGAATTTGGAACCTGGAACAAGTCTTATAATGTCAGATTTTCCTGAGAAATGCTGTTGTCACATTGCAGGTGTTATTCTGTAATTATTTCAGACTTTGCATCTTACTCTCTCAGCACTATATAAAAATTGGAAGCAAATTACTTTCCTAGTAGAGAAGTGAGGAATTGCAGAGGTTTTAGAACTATGCTGCATATAAAATGTGCAATATAAGTGACATCTCATTGTAAACCTTATTTCCTCAGTACTGGGAGTGCCTTTGGAGAGTGCTGGGGTCCAGCCCCAGCAGGTCCAGGGGTCCCCAAAGGTGTGGACGGAGTCGGCGAAGAAGGAATGACACGGAGACAGCGTTCAGTTAATCAGCAGCCTTGGCCAGGATCTCTAGCCACAATCTCCAGCCAAGTTCTGTGTCCATGTTCTCTTGCTAGGTTCTCCAGCCACATTATCCAGGTTCTCTAGGGAGGTTCTTATCTCCATTCCAGGGAGTAAAGATTATGTAGCTTAAGCATGATTGTTCGTAGTTAAAGAGATTAACTACCTGCCTGGCACTTAGTGAAGGGGTTTTATTCCCTCCCTAACTTCAGGGGAAAATCTCTACCTGGGGAAACAACCTTTCTCGGAGAGGTGACCTTGGTTAAAACACATAGTGCCAAGAAGGTGAGCAAATATATTAAGAACAGTATGCCATATATGCCAGGTCCCTTGAAATAGCAAGGATGGACCGGCTCCCGGCAGGAGAGCTGGTAAAAGTGGAAAATTCTCAGGTGGGTAAAGTAGAAAGCTCAGGTTATTTATAGTAGAAATGATACCAGGGTTAATTGTGTCATCAATAAAGTCTTATTCATTCTATAATTCAGGCTGAAGTCAATACAATCAAATTGGCTGAACCAATAGGATGGGAGTAAAACAGAATTAGGTTCATCTTTATACAAACTAGCCTTTTTTTCTGTTGCCTGTTTAAATATTTTACAGTTGCTGAACCTTAATTGGAGAGATTTTGTTTCACATCATGCATATTAAAAACTCAATTTTATTCTAGCAAAGTCATATTTACCATATTTTAGGAAAATAATTTTATTTAAGGTACATTTCTATTGGTTTTACTTTCATGATAGAGCACATGGCATATTTAAATGTGTGATTTTCTAGGTGGGCTTTCGCTTCTATCTATAGAATACATTATTTATTAGAAAGATTCAAGACATTTTTATCACATCTACTAGGATTTGAAAGATTATTAATGAAGAGTGTAGTATTTTAAATTCAACATTTCCTGTTTATTCCTAAATAACTTAATTACTTTAGAGTATCCAGAAAAGACTATTGAGATTATTTAGTGTGTTTATTTGTTTACATATTCTAATCTAAGGTCAGAGTGGTGATTACCCATTACTAAATTATCTAAGCTTTGACATTACAATGCTCTTTTTAAAAAGCTAAGGTAGCTTCAGTCTTTAAAAATATATTTCATTATTTAAAGTTATGTTTGGGCCTGGCTGCGTGGCTCAGCGGTTGAGCGTAGACCTATGAACCAGGAGGTCACGGTTCCATTCCTGGTCAGGGCGCATGCCTGGGTTGTGGGCTCGATCCCCAGTGGGGGGCGTGCAGGAGGCAGCCAATCAATAATTTTCTCTCATCATTGATGTTTCTATCTCTTCCTCTCCCTTCCTCTCTGAAATCAATAAAAACATATTTAAAAAAATAAAGTTACATTTGGGCATTTGTTTTCTCTCTTTGTTTTTAAAAACTTTTTAGAATTCAGTCGTATTTATTACCTTTTTCATATTTTTATCTTCCAGGAGTCAGAAGAAAGCAGTGGAAGTTGGAGTCATTGTAAAGCCATTGAAACCTTTTACAAGAAAATCTCAGTGAATAAAAGTTGTTTAAATTAGTGACATAACAAAATCAGTTATTAAGGTGACAGTGTACAAGAAAGAAACGTTAAAATTGAACAATGACTCAGCTATATGTTTACGTCACGTTATTGGGAGCCTATCTGTCCATCGTTTCTCATGTTCAAGGTAAATCATTGTTCATTTAAGCAATCTTACTATCTTTTTACATAATTTCTTTCTGTATATAAAGAAGCATTTATTCCTGCAACTGTTTCGGTTCCTGGTCCTTTTTTGAACAGATAGGTCCAGTATAGCAGCATAAATTTTAAGTAAAGAGGCAAAGAACACGTTTCTCAAATAACTTTTGAACTTGACTATGATAGAAACATTTTCAGTATGTGTAAAATCTCAGCCTTTCTGAACTGTTCTCTTATTCATAACATAGGCATTGTGATACGTAGCGTCAAGTCTTGTGAGGATTAAATGAGATAAAGTATAAAATAAAGTAACTGACCTAGTGCATGAGGTACAGGGTAATAGGTACTTAAGACTTAGTTTAGCCCAGCTGATGTGGCTCAGTGGTTGAGCTTGGACCCATGAACCAGAAAATTCCCGATTAGAGCACATGCCTGCGTTTTGGTCTCCATCCCCAGTGGGGGGCATGCAGGAAGCAGCCAATTGATATTTCTCATCGATATTTCTATCTCTGTATCCCTCTCCCTTCCTCTCTCTCTAAAAAATCAATAAAAAAAATTTTTTTAAAAAAGACTTAGTTCAAAATCCCTGTCTCCTTTAAAATACAATAAGGAGCCCTGACCAGTTTGGCTCAGTGGCTAGAGCGTCGGCCTGTGGACTGAAGAGTCCCAGGTTCTATTCCGGTCAAGGGCATGTACCTTGGTTGCAGGCACATCCCCAGTAGGGGGTGTGCAGGAGGCAGCTGATCCATGTTTCTCTCTCATGGATGTTTCTAACTCTCTATCCCTCTCCCTTCCTCTCTGTAAAAAATCAATAAAATATATTTAAAAAAATACAATACAATAAGGAATAAATTAAATAATTAAAAAAATTATTGTTATTTAAAGGCTCCAGAAATATAAATGGCACTATGTATGTGTGCTGAATACTAATAGTTCTTCATAAACTACTGTTTTATTTGTGATCAGTATTGTAACTTTACTCTGGTGTGTTCAGAGCTTGGCACTCTCAAACAGGAAGTTACTGTGATAACTCATAGGATCAAATGGGCTGTATTTGCATATGAGCTTTTTCCTGTATGGTTTAATTAGAACAATAACTTAAACTGAAAAGAAAGTATTATTTTGCAAAAGGAATTTAGATAGAACTTATTGGTCATCTTTATTATTTTATACTTATGACCACAGCTTGCTCTTTCATGTTTTGTTCACAGTGATATGGATTAAGATCTAACAAGAAGAAAATACTAACAGCATAAATCTTTTGACATTTTTACTTTAAAGCATGAGCATAATAATCCTGTAGTTTTTTTGTCTTTTGTCTTTGGTATAATACCCTCATTATTACCATGCTTGGAATACAGAGCCCTCTTGCAAGAGCTACTTATTATTTATTTATTTTTAATAATTTTTATTGATTTCAGAGAGGAAGGGAGAGGAGAGAGAGAGAAACATCAATGATAAGAGAGAATCATTAATTGGCTGCCTCCTGCACACACCACACTGGGGATTGAGCTTGCAACCCAGGCATGTGCCTTGACTGGAATCGAACCCAGGACCTTTCAGTCCACAGGCCGATGCTCTGTCTACTGAGCCAAACCAGCTAGCGTGCAAAAGCAACTTTTTAAATGAAATGCCATGTTATTTAATAAAACAACTTTATTTTAGCATCTGTTGTTCTATGCCTTGTTGACAGCTTCAAAGCTGTCAGAGTTTTGAAGATGAATTAAATAACACTTACATTGCTTCCTTGCTTCCAGGTAATCTTTATTTGGTATTTTAAAAATGCTTAATCTAGCTGAAACCGGTTTGGCTCAGTGGATAGAGCGTCGGCTTGCGGACTGAAAGGTCCCAGATTCGATTCCGGTCAAGGGCATGTACCTGGGTTGCGGGCACATCCCCAGTAGGAGATGTGCAGGAGGCAGCTGATCGATGTTTCTCTCTCATCGATGTTTCTATCTCTCTATCTCTCTCCCTTCCTCTCTGTAAAAAATCAATAAAATATATTTTTTAAAAAAATGCTTAATCTATACAGATCACACAGAGGGAATATGGTATAAGATTCTCATTCCCCACCCTGACTTAGCTTGTTCTATAATAAAAATTTTTAAATGAAGTAAATTGATAATTAGTTATAAGGCATAAGTGAAAAAATCTTAGTATGAATTCTATTTCTCTGATAAAGAGCAAAATTTGTTATGTTTCTTTTCAAAAAGAATAGTTTGTAGTTGCTTTATTTTTTAATTTTATTTTTTTATTGTTGACAATATTACAAATGTCCCCCATTTCCCTCTTTGCCCCTAATTTATAGTTGCTTTAAGATAACAACATTTGTTTTTAAGGAGAAGAAAGAACTAGAACTAGTGTAGCGGGGGGAAATGAATGTAGGAAAAAAATGTTATTTTTTAGAGATTACTAAGAAGAATTGCAGAGTGGTATTAATGGAGATGACTTTGACTTTGGCTCCATCTTTATCTTGAATTGTGTCTTGGGAAAGTGAATTTTCCTGTACCTTGGTTTCCTTGTTAGAAAATAAAAATAGTATATAGATATAAACTGGAGTATTTTGAGCATCAAATGTTATGATACAGATTAAAGTGCTTTTACATTGAGATAAAGCTGCTCCAGTTAGAAGAACGAGACATCTCACTAACGTCTGATAGTCCTTGGTTTTTACTTGGTCATATTTTAGCTTTAAGTTAAAATTAACCAATAAACAGACTTAAACAAAGAGAAATTAGTTTTCTGAGGAGAGAGATGGTAAATGTTTTCTGGTGTTCTTTTAGTGGTTGAGTCGTGTCAAGGTTGGCATTTCTGTGATTTTCTTGGCATTTCCCTTAGGGTTACAGAATGGCTGCTGCTATTTGCATTGGGGAAGAAAAAACGGGGAAAGGGCCAGCCCTGGCCTCCTCTGGACTTTATATCAAGAAAGCAAAAATGTCCCTAGAAATTAACCCGCTGCCAGCTGACTTTATCTTGTTTTATTGGCCAAATTGAGGCAGTTGCTAGGGCTACTGGAAAACTGGGAAACAGGATTGCCACAATCGGCTTAGGTTAATAGCTAAATCCATTAACTAGGGTTGGACACCCCACCCCGACAAAATCAGGGTTCTGTTGACTAGGAAGACGGGGAAGGGGTGAGGGAATAAATATCCACTGGGCAACTAAAAGAATCTGAAACAGATTTTATCTTTTTTATCTGAAAACATTTAAGAAGTTTTCAGCTATTAAGTAACAAAAATCCAAATTAAGTGAAATAGCTAAACAATAAGAAAAATGTTAATATCACACATGGGGTGAACATAGGGGTAATCCAATTAGTTCATTGCTTGGCTCATCGAAGCCTTTCTCTGTTTAAACTGTGCTATTCTGCACTTAGCAATTTAGCCATAGGCTAACTCACTTCATGGCCACTGTGGCTGCTGGGACCAAGCATCATATGCAGATGTAGAAACCTCAGTTGACAGCTTTCAGTGGAGGAAAAGGGTGGATGTCTTTTTTTACTTGGTTAAGAAATCTTTCCCCAGACACCTCTCCCCAGCCTCCACCTAGCCAACTTCCTTGTAATTTTATTAGACAGAATTTATTATATGCTCTTGTGTAAATGGCACGGGGAATGGAACTACAATTGTTAGATTAGACAAACAGTTATCTCTAATGAGAGTAGAGTAGAGCTGTGCTTCCCTGAGTCACATGAAGGAGGGGCGGATACTTAAACACAAAAAGGGGGTCGGAGTGGGTGCCCGCATACATTGTCAGGAAAGTAAAGGGGAGTAGAACAATTAACAGTAACTGTTGTACGGCAGCCTGTTTGTCTACCTAACATCATGCATCCCCTTTCTCACATGCATATACTAAAAGTGCTAGAGTTGATATGAAATATTCAGATCCTCCCCAAAGGGATTTATAACCCAGAGTTTCATTCACTTAGTACTCAGCTACTAACCCAGGGTGTTTGGATTCTATGTAGCCTTCCCCATTGGGTCCAGGTGTGACTCTTCGTGGTCCCGCAATGTAAGGCTGAAAGAGAAATTACCGATGTCCAACTCACCCAGTATTCAGTGATGAAGAAGAAATATGACAAGTACTATATAAGCGTCCACTCAGGAGGAAAGCTTGGAAAAAACCTTCAATAGTCACTGCTCCATAGCACATAGGTTACAGAAAACTGCTGTTGTTGACTATACCCATCATGCAATGCACTGACATCCCACCGGTCTCTGCAACTCACCTGTCTTTTGCCTTCTGATTCAGTTGTAGATGTTTTATCTTAAGGATAGGAGAGAGGGAGTTTGTCTTCTTTATACAAAAGAATCCAATAGATTGCTGGGAAGGTAGGAAAATGTATTTAGCCAGGAATGAAAATCTAGTAAAATCAATAATGCTGAAAGTTTCTATGAAGGATAAAAGAGCATGATACAATGTTCCTATATATAGTCACTTGTATCTTTCAGCAATTTGTCTCTATTTACATATGTGTGTTTCTAAGCATGTAAGCTATTAAATATTTTTTACATGTGTTTGTTTTGAAATATAATCTATACCCCCAGCCCACCACAGGCCTCTTAATTTTATACTTTGTAAACAGAGGATTTGTGGATAGGAACTGACAGAAGGCCAGTGTGCCTGAGTGTGATGGAGGAGAAGTGCTGTGAATTGATGTTGGAGAGGTACACAGGGTTCAAACCCTGCTGGGCCTCAGTAGGCTGGTGACAGAGGGTAGATTTATCTTGAGTGCATATAAAGCCATTAATTGGTTTTAAGCAGGTGAGTGACAGGATCAGAGATCAATGTGGAGATTTTCATCTCAAAGAAGAAAAGACAAGAGTGCCATTTTAATTTTGAGATACTTAAGCAAGCCAAGGCTGGAGGGATAAATCAAGGAACCATCAACAAAAAGATTTGGGAATGGGTGCTGTTACCTAAGAAGAGAGTGCAGAGAGGCTGCTGCTAGGTATTTTTCTTTGCATCCATAACACTACTTAGTGTAATCTTACAATTTTAAGGTGTGGCTCAGTGTTTGAGCATTGACCTATTACCCAGGAGGTCACAGTTCGATTCCCCATCAGGGCACATGCCCAGGTTGTGGGCTCAATCCCCAGTAGGGGGCATGCAGGAGGCAGCCAATCAGTGATTCTCTCTTATCATTGATGTTTCTATCTTTCTCTCACTCCCTTTCTCTCTAAAATCAATAAAAGTATATTTTTTAAGAAGATATATAACTAAGATTTCATTGCTGTTGACATCTCTTGTCAACATTGCTGTTTTTGCTCCCTTCTTTGTTTATATAACACCTTTGTATTCTATCACTTTTCATATTGTGTTTATGTGCCTCCCCCCTGTCTCCTTCCAAGGATCACATCAGTTTTCAGAACTCAGTGCCTTGCCTAAACATAGTATGCCTCTAGTGAGTGCTTTGTTAAATAAATATTTGAGATGATACAAATCCCAGATGCAAATTATTGTAATTGGTATTTATCTCTTAAATTCAGATAGTTTTCTAGGAAGTTATGTGTGTTAATGATCATATAACTGAATTTTCAAGTGTCTGATATTTTAGTATAATCTTTATTATTAGTAATGTTTTCATTTCCACATTATATTTAATTACTTTATGATATATTCGTTTGATCTGTATATAACCTCCTGATTTGAATGCGCAGGTGTTGTTACCATTTTTTATAGATAAAAAACTGAGGCTCAGAGAGTAACTTATCTATGAACATAATTGGGACTTGGACCTCTGACATTTTACTATTTCAGCACTATTTCTGCCACACTATACTACTTTTTCTATGTTATTAGATTTTTGAAAAATTAATAGCGTGATATATTATTTGCCATTTATTCTCTGTAGTTCAATTGATGCTTCCTTCTGTTACTGTAATAGGATTTTAAAGCTAGTTAAGAGACCTCATATGTCCTCTAGTCCTAAGGACTTATTGAGGAGACGAAGCCTGGAGAAGTGACGCGGCTTATCCATGAGCACCCATGGCTGAATTGTGGTAGAACCATTGTAGACCAGAATCTGGGTCTCCTTATTTCCAGCTTTGAGAATTTCCTCCCTGTCTCTTTCCTTTGCCCCCTGACTTAATTTTATATTTGATGTTCTTAACAAAAATGAAGTCTTTAAGTTTTGTAGTAATTTAGAGGAATAAGTGAAGATTATTAAAACTCAAGGTATGGAATCACCATAATGTACTTAATAGCACATTCTTTTCCTGTTATCAGTGTGAATATATGTGTGTTTTTTCTTTTTCAATAATTCATTTCACCAGTATGGTAAAATTTAAAATCAGGTCTAATTATTAAGCCTTGAACCACTTATTTAACATAATTAAATGCATTCCCAAGTATCTTAATATTTCCTATCTATTTGGCTCTACATTTTATTCCCTTGAGATCAATCTTATTGGATTTCAGCTGATTCGTGGGGAGGAAGGAATTACTAAAAATTGTTTTAGTTCTGGTCTGCCTTCAGCCTGAAAGATTCAGTACCAAATGTGACGGCATCTGTCATTTGAAGCTACTAGACTCTAATGGGAGAATGACCTGCAGTTTCTGGCAGCAGAGTCAAATTTGAACCAGTGACCTTGAAGATAAAAGGCACTGTATACTATGATTGGTCCCTGTGCTCTCACAGTTCCCTTACTTAAGCAATTAAAGTCAAAGCAAGATGCTTAGTAATTCCACTTCCACATAAAGGCACAAATGAAAGGCTTATTTTTTTTTTAACTACTCACAGATTTTAAATCAAAGAGTTTAAGAGAAAAAATGCCACAATTTATTTGTTTTATAATGATTGGGAACAATATCAGCCTTCCCTGAAGTTGCTTCCATGTATCTTTCTTAAAACTTATGACCATATTCTCCCTGTGCCACTCTTGTTTGTCCTTCACTAGCGCAAACATTGTGGCATATCATCTCTGTACATCCCAGACTCTGGAATAGTAATTCTGTGCATAATAAATAGGTTAACAATAAATGACTCTGACTTGTGTTTATGAAATTCAATTTTAATTAAAGACACATTAGCTACAATTTCTATGATAAAAAAGCTTAGAAACGTTTCCTCATTGAAAACTAAAATCAAGGAATTAGCTTTTCAGAAATGGTTTAAATTTCATGTATGATTACAGGGCAGAATCTAGACAGTATGCTCCATGGCACTGGGATGAAATCAGACTCTGACCAGAAAAAGTCAGAAAGTGGAGTCACCTTAGCCCCGGAAGACACCCTGCCTTTTCTGAAGTGCTACTGCTCAGGCCACTGCCCCGATGATGCTGTCAACAACACGTGCATGTGAGTACTTCTCCTTACAGTTAGGAGGATGGCGTGGCATTCAGTGCTATTTTAACAATTGTTTACCTCGTCTACAGCTTTTTTTTCTTTAACTTTATATCATGTCTTCCTAAGAGCCAAAAGCTTTTTGCTCTGTATATGGGAATATTTATTTCTGTTGATTGATGCTTACTTTATTTCTTTTTAATCTTTATTGTTGAAAGTATTACATGTGTTCCCCATTTCCCCCTATTAACACCCTCCAGCCTGCTCCCACCCCAGGCTTTCACCACCTAATTGTCCATGTCCATGAGTTATGCATATATGCATACAAGGTCTTTGGTTGATTACCTCCTACATTTATGGTTTCCCAACTTACATTTAAGTCTTTTAACCATTTTGAGTAACAGTGGTGAAAGCGGACATCCCTGTCTTATTCCTGTTCTTAGGGGAAATGTTTTTAGTATGATGTTCGCTGTAGGTTTGTCATATATGGCCTTTATCATGTTGAGATATGCTCCATCTATACCCACTTTGCTGAGTTTTTAAAAAAACTGGGTGTTGGATTTTGTTGAATGCTTGTTCTGCACCTATTGATAAGATCATGTGATTTTTGTCTTTCAATTTGTTTATGTGATGTATCATGTTCATTGATTTGCAAATATTGTATCAGCTTTACATCCTTAGAATGAATCCCACTTGGTTATGGTGTATGATATTTTAAATATACTAGAGGCCTGATGCACAAAATTTGTGCAAGAGTAGGCCTTTCTTCCCCTGGCTGCCGGCACCAGCTTCCTTCTGGCACCCAGAACCCGGGCTTCCTTTGCAGCCCCAGCTTTGTCCAGAAGGTTGTCCAGAAGGATATCTGGTCTAATTAGCATATTACACGTCTAATTACCATATTATGCTTTTATTATTATAGATATTAGAAAAATTGCTGTATATTCATCTGTTCCTGTATCTCAAAATATTTCAACTCAATTTATGAAAAATGATGTTTCTTATATACTCACTCCAGATACCCTATTTTATGTTTAACTCTATTTCCTAATACCTTTATTGGGAAATGGCAAAGAAAAGCAGTTAAGACTGGTATCACAAGTAAAGGCTCCCCTGAAACATAAA